ATCTCGATTACCATGAACATTTCGATTGGGTACTGACCCAGCTAGGGAGCCTATCAGATTCCTCGATCATCGTGAATACCGTGTCTTACGCTGCCGAACTGTGATAATCAAGTTGCAAAGTTCAAGGTTAGTTTAATGTCAAGGTGGAGGTTGCCATGTTTGATTTGAGTGTGTTGTGTCATAACTTCTGATTGGACGCTACTGTCTGTGATAAAGGGAGATAACGTAGCTATAAGTTCGGGAGTTGCAAAGCAATCTAGCAACGTCAAGGTGTTGTAAAACTCGCAGTCGCTGCTCCAGGAACATGTCGTTAAAGTAACGATCGCGCATATCGGATCGTAACTTCCCGAATTATGGCCCGGGAGTGTACGAAAAAATCGCCTTTTTAGCTCTAGAGGTCACAACTATTTTCCGATCTATCAAAAACGTTCGAATACATCACAGTTACACCATAATGTTAGTTGACCGAAACTGCCGGACAAAATGGACAAAAGTATGTAATACCATTTTTTAAAAAGCAGTTGAAATTTACCACGACAGACAAACTGAGAAACAAAATAACCGCCCCTCGTATTCAAATAGCGTAAAAATATGGTATATCAATGTTGTGGACCCTTTAGCGGTCACAAATTTTTTTTTTGATGAAACTTGGGGGGTTGGATGGCTGTACCATAAAGTCTGTCATTGAGTCGACTGGCGTGGTTTCGAATCCCCGGTTGTACGTGGCAAGGAGTAGGGTCGCCTGTTCAACCTCGTGGGTTTTCTCCGGGTCCTCAGGTTTCCCCCCACTGCTAAAGACCCCTACGCGCAAGCGAATTATGTTAATAAAATTAAACCATATGTTAGTCCCGAAATGACCTAGTTTGTGTCGAGTGGACGTTAAACCCCATTTCTCTCTCTCTCTCTCTCTCTTTGATGAAACTTGAAATGTTGGTTCCTTTCGATATTCACGCATATCGGATAGTAACTTCCTGAATTATGACCCCTGATTGTACGAAAAATCGCGTTTTTAGCTTGAGGTCCCTCTAGATGTCACACTTATTATCGGATTTAAAAAAAACCCGTTCAAATATATCACTGTTACACCGTAATTTTGGATGAGTTCGAATTACGTGAAAATCAGACCAAAAGGCTGCCCCTTCGTACACAATTACCGTAAAAATATGGTAGGTCAATGTTGTGACCCTCTTGGGGTCACAATTTTCTTCTGATTTGGATGAAACTTGAAATGTAAGTTTATAACCCAAACATCTTGGTTCCTGTCGATATTCGCGCATATCGGATCGTAACGTCCTGAATTATGGCCCTTGATTGAACAAAAAATCACGATTTTAGCTTGTGGTCCCTGTAGAGGTCAAAATGTTTATCTGATTTAAAAAAGAGGTGTGAATATGTCACCATTACACACTAAAATCTTGGATCCTTTTGATAATCACGAATACCCGAACTAAACTTCCTGGATTATGGAGCCTGATTGTTCGAAAAATGGCATTTTTAGCTTGCTGATTCTCTAGAGGTCACATTTTTTTTACAATTTTAAAAACCGTTTAAATATTTCACCATTCCATCATAACAAAGGTTGAATACGAATTTCGGGAAAATCGAAATGACACTGTCCAACAAAATGGCCGCTCTTTGTACGCAAATTGTGTAAAAGTATGCAATACGTGTTCGACCCACTAGAGGTCACAATTTTTATCCGATTCTGATGAAAATGAAAAAAAAAAATATTTATATCCCAAAGATCTCAGTCCCTTTTGATATGTACAAAAAATCCTGTTTGTTTTTAGCTTGTTCTCTATCCATCTCTTGCAAAATGTGGGCGTATCCTGCCTGGCAGCCGCTGGCTTTGTAAAATCAGGGGCCATAATCCACGAAGTTATGGTCCGATATGCACGAATATCGAAAGGAACCGAGATTTTTGGGTTATAAACATAAATTTCAAGTTTCATTTAAAATTTCATTAAAGATCACAACCTTGGTATTATATACTTTTAATATATAATTCATATAGCGTGGTTTCGATTATCCAACCCATTGAACGTGACAAGGAGTAGGGTCGCCTGTCCAGGTTTTCACTGGATCCTCCCACAAGCGTATTATTGAATTAAAATTTAACAGTAAGTTATTCCCGAAATGACTGAGTTTGTGTTGAGTGGACGTTAAACCCCATTTCTCTCTCTATTACAATATGCACCTTTATGATCTGTGAACACCCAATCTCTTGTAATATGATCTGTTAACGGGGATTCTAACGACCTAAACATATACTTGTCGATACAACTGATGGCATGTTGGGCAACCCTTCAATGTACAGTGTGGTGTCTAGTAGTTTTTATTATGTTATTATTGTCATACAACGGTCGTCAATAATACATCTTTTATAACATGGATGTATTCAATATATCACGTGATTCCAAATGGCGGTGGTTGTATAATACATCCTTTATGTTCGAGATATTGTTGTAGAAATTTTAACCTAGATTTATATAGTTATTTATATCGATACAACCGATTGCATGTTGGACAACCCTTCAATATACAGGGTGTTGTTTAGTAGTTTTTATTACTTTATTATTGTCGTATACAAGTTGTCAATAATAAATCTTTTATAACATGGATGTATTCAATATATCACGTGATTCCAAATGTATAATACATCCTTTATGCTCGCGATATTGTTGTACAAATTTGAACTTAGATTTACATAGTTATTTATACCTGCCTTTCACTACAGACATGGTTATAAAGATATGATTTGAGTATGTTGTAATGGTAAGTTCATCTCATTCCTGTAACTAATGTTATCTGGCGACTGAATGTTGTACTGGTACGTTATTTTATGGTAATGTGATTATCTAAGACATGTATTAAATTTGTGTTATTATGTATGTCGAAATATTGGATATTATTTGTAGGGGTTTATAAGTTTATTTTATTGTTTCAAGTATAATGAAATGACTCACAAATCCTTGTTTAAGGGGATATCTTAGGTATAGTGACCATCAGGCTAGTTGGTAATACTTTTGATTCACACTAAACGACACGAACAAACTTTTCGCAAATCAATAGTTGAAGCAACAAGATTGAAAGGATATTAGGTGATTCAATTTTGGCAAACCTTTGATAATGCAGTACTCTTCCCCCAGCATTACAGACAAACCTTGGATAAAGTAGTTCGCTACACCCAGCACTACAGGTGTAGCACCGTGGGTCGTCTGTTAGATATGGAGAGCGGACCAACGTTAAAATCGGGTCGCTACATCCTAATAATGACCTATGCACTCTTTTCTTACTACATAGCCTTGTGTACGTCTAATATATGTAATTGTCTTCTTTGTTTCCTTTTCATGTTGTGTATTTTCTTCTTCTTATCTAAGTAGTTAAGACTCTTATCTTCTCATTATTTAAGACGTTTGTCTTACCAGGAATAACAATTCAAAAGTTTAATTCTACATTTTGATGTCAAGCTGGATACAGTGCATAATATATTACCCTAAAGTCATTCTCTCAATCCCATTCCACTCAGACTCTGCTGATGCATGTTTAAAGAACAACAATTCTACTAATCTTGCTACACAGACAACCCTTTGATAATGTAGTTCGCTACATACAGCACCACAGGCAAACACAATGCACAGTTTATTTTGAAATGGCAAACACGTGTAGCTTATTACGGCTAATACTTTGCTAAATTGACGTATCATCGTGTCGCCCCTGTCCGTTCATTCATATTTTATTTGTGGACATTCTACAGGTTACAATCCATTTTTATTAAAATATATATCCCTGAGATAACGATTCCTGTCGATACTGGCGTATATGGGGCCGTAATGTCTTGGATTATGGCCCTTGATTGTAAGAAAAATCACGTTTTTTTAACTTGACCTTTTGGGTTCATCAAATTATCCGGTAATGGGTGAATAATTCATGAATAGAAAGTCCTAAATATCACAATGATTTACACGATAACATGATTTTACACTATTTCGTAATGGGGAGCATTCATTTTCACTAAATTGGAACTCATCCATATTATAGTGTAATGGTTATACATTTGAACGGTTTTTAAAATCAAATAATAATTGTAACATCCTATTGGTCAACAATATCGGCAGGAACCAAGATCCTTGGGTTATTACTGTTTACTCAAAATCAGTTAATAATAATGACCTCTTTTACACTATTTGCGTAATGGGGAGCAGTCATTTTCACGAAATTCGAACTATAATTATAGTGTAATGGTGATAGATTTGAACGGTTTTTAAAATCAAATAAAAATTGTAACCATGTCAACCCTATATAAGCTATGGCTTTTACCGGTATTTACAAATTGTTTTGAAGCAAAGAAGACAAGCCATATTTAGCATTCGGCGGCTTTCCTTTTCAAAGTTATCCCCCTTTATTGGAGGTCCTGTGGACGCAAAAGATGCTACAGTGTTTGAAGGATTTTTTTTCATATTTATTGTGAAACATTATCGTCATGACAGGATAAGCACTATCGATATTCAGGTTGGCGAAACTTGTCAATTTCGTCATAGGCACTCTTATCTCCCCGCATTCCACAAGATTTTTGGTCTGTGGTGATTTTCACAAGAGTTTTGAATCATATTATTTTTTTTTTTTTTTTTTTTGGCAAAACTATCTGCTCAGACCACCTCATCTGAACTCATCTCCACGTGTGGTACTACAATGCACAAGAGTTTCACAATATATTTTCCAAATTTCTTCTCAGACTGGCAAATTTTTGGTCAGTTCTCTGGACCCAGTACTACAGACAAACACCATGCCCAGCTTATATTGAAATTGGAAAGACATATATCTTATTACAGCTAATTTTGTTTGTCTTCCAAATTTTATAATTTCTATTAGAACCATTCATTGCAGCATATACATTGCGGAGGCGATTACTTTATCATAATCAATTAAACTTGGCATCTTCTTGGCATAATTTTTTATTATTCCATTAATTCCACATCTAAATTTACTTATTTTTACAGCCGATGGTATGTTTTCCTGATAGCTTCATACCAAAACGATCATCAAACAAATGAAATATGGCTTCCTTGAAAGGTAATCTAAAATTCAAACATATCAATGTTTTCTTTAAGAATATAATAGCTTATATTTTGTAACAATATTTTCTGTTCCGTTAATAAAATCAAGATCCAAGATATAATTATTTGTACCTGAAAATATATGGGTAGTATATTGTTTATTTCTTTCATATTACTTTATAGACTCTAAGAGAACAACAGATGAACGGATAAACAGGCCAGGCACCCACTCTCAAGATTTCTACCAACTTCAAAATATAGTGCTACTAGAAGACGACGGAGCTTCTTCAACTAAAATACCACAAAGATTAGCACCCGGAAAGACCATGGTGCACATGTCAACATTTAAAGACTACCATGACCAGATTGGTAACAAGAATGTGATACTAGAAGCTTGTAGACATGGTTCAGTTGCCAAAGTTAGACATTTAATAGATCAGGGTACAGATGTCAACAGTAAGGACGTACATGGTAGAACATGTATCTTACTTTGTAGTACATCACCCATTGAACCCATTGAAAAAATAGACTTTTTACGGTCAAATGGAGGTAATATTCAAGATATCGATGATGAAAACAATGGTATATTACATTTGGCTTGTGATTTAGGGACGCTAGAAACAGTTGAGTATCTTGTAAATATAGGGTTAGATATCAACACTAAAGGTTATAAAAGTAGATCTTGTATAATGGCGTGTAGTCAGTCTAAAATACAAGCTACTGATAAAATAGAATTGTTAAGACAGATGGGTGGCAATATTCTTGATACAGATGTAAACAATGATAATTTGTTACACTTAGCATGTCATAGTGGTTCACTAGATACAGTAAGATATCTAATTAATCAAGGCCTGGATATCAATACTAAAGGGAGATACGGAAGGACATGTATATTGTTATGTAGTCAATCTGAAACACAGGCCATTGAGAAAATAGAACTATTGATATCAAAGGGAGGTAATATATATGATACTGATGATGATAACCATGATATGCTTCACTTGGCTTGTATGTTGGGTACACTAGAGACTGTCAGATATATGATAGACCTTGGTTTAGATGTAAACGCCAAATGTAAGAACTTTAGAACACCCATATTACATTGCGGTACGTCAGTAATACAACCCATTGAGAAAATAAAAATAGTACGTTTTAAGGGTGGTAATATTTATGAAATTGACGGTAAAAAATATGGTATATTACTCATAGCTTGTGCTAGTGGTACATTAGATACTGTAAGATATCTGATAGATCTAGGGTTGGATATTAACACTAAAGGTTTCAATTTTAGAAGGTGTATAATACTGTGTATTCAATCTGAAATACAAGCCACCGAGAAATTAAATTTATTTATGTTAAAATGGGCTAATATATATAACACTAAATTTCACTATGATGGTATATTACACGTGGCTTGTACTGATGGTACATTAGATACAGTTAGACATCTGATAGATCTAGGGTTGGATATAAACACTAAAGCTTTAAAAGGTAGAACATGTATCTTACAGTGTAGTACTTCTAAAACCCAACCTATTGAGAAAATAGAATTATTAAGGTCAAAGGGAGGTAATATTAATGATCGAGATACTGATAACAATGGTATGTTACACCTGGCTTGTATTTCGGGTACATTAGATACTGTAAAACATCTGATGGATCTAGGGTTGCGCATCAACAACAGAGGCGAGTATGGTAGAACTTGTATCTTGACCTGTTCCCAATCTACAACCCAAGCTAGCGAGAAAATAGAGTTATTAAGGTTAAATGGGGGTAATATCAATGACACTGATGATGATAACCATGGTATATTACACCTTGCTTGTGGCGTTGGTACATTAGGTACTGTTAAATATCTGATAGATCTTGGGTTGGATATCAATACTAAAGGGAGGTTCGGCAGTACGTGCATCTTGTATTGCTGTGAATCGGAAACACAAGCCATTGAAAAAATAGACTTTTTAAGGTCAAAGGGGGGTAATATTCATGACCGGGATGATAGTAGCAGTGGTATATTACACCTTGCTTGTGTAAACGGCACGTTAGACATCGTTCAATACCTAGTTAATCTAGGACTAGATATAAACAGTAAAGATGGATCAGGAAACACGCCTGTTTCATTCAGTTTTATGTCTGGTGTACAATCTCGTCAAAAACTCTTTTTTTTAATGTCCTTAGATGCCGAACTTTCATGGCTCGAGTGGTTAAAATTCGAATTTCTTACAGTATTTTAACAGCTTAATCCATACTTTATAGCCTGAATTAGGCATGAATTAAACATTACAGATAAAAAAAAATACAATTTTAATATTCGCCAATCTTTCATTATTTTAACGGATCAAATGATATCAAACCAAAGCTATAAACACCTGAGTATGGATTTATTACATACAGTGTCTGTATGAATGAGGTAAAATACATTCATACTTTACAGTAAAATATACAGTTTCTGTATGAATGAGATAATGCCATTTATTGTAGTACTTACTATTCGATCTTCACGTTGCCTTCACTTCCGTGACTAAAATTATAACTACAGTTCAGCGTCAGGGTTTTGTTCTGTTCTGTTTTTTTATTCATATAAAAAACGTTAATCATTAGTCACAAATGAATCTATAAACAATTATTAGTCAATGCCATAATATTATTACACCATACTTTACAGTGAAATATGCTGAAATGCACCAACAGAATAAGCGATTTAAGCATTTCCCCCATTTTACGGCAGTCGGCTTTTGTTAATTCCAAAGAAAAATTTTGTCGATCATATTTTTTTATTTTATACTGTAATACAACTAAAGATACATCATATAAGAGCTAACTCTGCCTGGTGCAGGTCTTTCTGTTGCCTCAGATTTTATATAAATTATTAATTAGAAATTTATTTACATGACAAGTATATAATCATATCGTCTGCTACTATCTTACGAGTTCAACAGTAAGGACGTCGTCTTGTGCTGGCTTCCCAGTCACGTTGATATAAGGGGAATGATCAAGCAGATTTTGCTGCCAAAGCTGCTTTAGATCTCCCCCAATCACCCTTTTTAATACCATATAAAGATTTTAAATCATGTATAAATCATTTTATTTATGACCGCTGGCAACGGTCTTGGGATCTTGCAGGCACAAATAAACTTCATCATATCAAGCCTCTCTAAGGAGACTGGCCAAGCTCCTATAGAACTAACAGGAGGGATGAAGTTGTTTTGTGTCGCTCTCGCATTGGTCATACTTTTTTAACTCACATTTTCATCTTGAAGCGAGAGCCTCAACCAGAATGTGAACACTGTCATGTTTCTTTGACGGTGAAGCACATTTTGATTGAGTGCAAGTATCTTGGAAATATTAGATCAAAATATTACCGTTGTCAGACATTACAACATTTATTTGCTCAACCGTAGCTATATTGTAAGATCCTAAATTTTTTAAAAGAGACAAAATTTTATTTTAAGTTTTAATTGTATATATGTAACCCGTCTTCTTTCATTTTAATTGTTTATATTCATAAAGTATTTGATATTGGATTGTTTTGATTGAAACACGATCGCTATTTAATAATTTCATTACAAAATGGATAATTGGGAGATTTTTTCTGATCATGGTCATAATTTCGCTCAGAATGAAGTAATTTGATTGAAATGTTCACTATATTCTATTTTCATTATCTATTTTTGAACTATTATTATAAGAACGGGAATCATTTTATCTAAATCATACATAATGCATCTTTTATATCTTATTTGCTGATGTTTTACTAGACCGGTGGAATGAAAGGTATGTTTTACTAGACCGGTGGAATGGGATGTATGTTTGACTAGACCGGTGGAATGATATGTATGTTTTACTAGACCGGTGGAATGGGATGGTTGTTTTACTAGACCGGTGGAATGATATGTATGTTTTACTAGACCGGTGAAATGTTTTACTAGACCGGTGGAATGGGAGGTATGTTTTACTAGACCTGTGGAATGAGAGGAATGTTTTACTAGACCGGTGGAATGAGGGGTATGTTTTACTAGACCGGTGGAATGAAAGGTATGTTTTACTAGACCGGTGGAATGAGGGGTATGTTTTACTGACCGGTGGAATGAGGGGTATGTTTTACTAGTCCGGTGGAATGAAAGGTATGTTTTACTAGACCTGTGGAATGAGAGGAATGTTTTACTAGACCGGTGGAATGAGGGGTATGTTTTACTAGACCTGTGGAATGAGGGGTATGTTTTACTAGACCGGTGGAATGAGAGGTATGTTTTACTAGACCGGTGGAATGGGATGTATGTTTTACTAGACCGGTGGAATGAGGGGTATGTTTTACTAGACCGGTGGAATGAGGGGTATGTTTTACTAGACCGGTGGAATGGGATGTATGTTTTACAAGACCAAAAGATCCCTTGGCAGTTGGAATTCGATATAAGAGTAGGCGATAGTGCCGCTGCCCGGGCAAAATTTCCCTCATAGCACACTGTATGGCGTATGCCCGTCTTCATTAGCCCAGGTTAGGAGCAGAACAGTAGGACGTTAAACCCCATTTCATTTCATTTTTACTAGACCGGTGGAATGGGATGTATGTTTTACTAGACCGGTGGAATGGGATGTATGTTTTACTAGATCGGTGGAATGGGATGTATGTTTTACTAGACCGGTGGAATGGGATGTATGTTTTACTAGACCGGTGAAATGGGATGTATGTTTTACTAGGCCTGTGAAATGGGATGTATGGTTTACTAGACCGGTGAAATGGGATGTATGTTTTACTAGACCGGTGAAATGAGAGGTATGTTTTACTAAACCGGTGAAATCTTTTACTAGACCGGTGAAATGAGAGGTATGTTTTACTGACCGGTGGAATGAAAGGTATGTTTACTAGACCGGTGGAATGATATGTATGTTTTACTAGACCGGTGGAATGATATGTATGTTTTACTAGACCGGTGAAATGTTTTACTAGACCGGTGGAAAGAGAGGTATGTTTTACTAAACCGGTGGAATAGGATGTATGTTTTACTAGACCGGCGGAATGAGAGATCTGTTTTTGTCGGGTTTATACTGTAATAAAACAAATGTTATTAATCTTCATTGCTATTGTTTTCTTGACTGGAGGTACAGTGCTTGGATCCATTAATTCAATTATACAATAATAACACTTTGTCAGAACTACATGTTGTCTTGGGAGGCTAAGCGTTTAAGACGCTGGTTCGCTAGCTTGAAGGTCCCGTGTTCTATTCCTGCATTGACCGAGTACGTTCATCGGATTTTTCCGGCGTGGTTTTCCGTCAGTGGTGCAGGACGGCGGACCTGACAAGGAAAGCTATCTAGGCGTTCGGATGAACTAAAACCCTAGGACCCGTGTATACATTGGCGTGCACGTAAAAGGTCCCTTGGCAGTTGGAAATGGGTATAAGAGTAGGCTGCCCGGGCAAAATTTCCCTCACATCACACGGTATAACGGATGCCCATTGTTATTAGCCCAGTCGAAACAGAACAGTAGGACGCTAAATCCCATTTCATTTCATGTTATCTTAAATAATATAAAGCTGATAAATACAATGTGTGCACATGACTTATACATACGTATAACTATCCCTAACAATGTGGACACAGATAATTTATATGTTTCAAACTTATAAATAGAAGGTTTGATCTCGATTTAACGCCGTACATCTTATCAAGCCATTCTCGTAAAACCCTGAATATTTCGATTGGGTACTGACCCAGCTATGGGCATATCAGATTCCTCCATCATCGTGAATACCATGTCTTTTGCTGTCGAACTATGATAATCGAGTTGCAAAGTTCAAGGTTCGTTCAATGTCAAGGTGGAGGCGGCCATGTTTGACTTCTGATTGGACGCTACTGTTCACGTGTCTTTGATAAAGGGAGATAACGTAGCTATAAGTTCGGGAGTTGCAAAGCAATCTAGCAACACAAAGTGTTGTAAAACTCGCAGTCGTTGCTCCAGGAGCATGTCAGTAACGATCGCGCATATCGGGTCGTAACTCCCCGAATTATGGACCGTGAGTGTACGAAAAATCGCGTTTTTAGCTCTAGAGGTCACAATTATTTTCCGATCTAAGAAAACGTTCGAATATCACAGTTACACCATAATGTTGGTTGACCGAAACTGCCGGACAAAATGGACGCTCCTTGTACATAAATAGTGTAAGAGTATGTAATACCATTTTAAAAAAAGCAGTTGAAAGTTACCACGACATACCAAATGCAATATATTGTCTGCAAGCCGACGATGGGGCTTGGCCACCATTTTACAACCGGGAAGATTAAGCCTACGGCGACATATACCAATATACCGGAGAGTTGTTGTTTTACTTGATTCAATATCGGGAGATAAGGGAGTGGTGGATTATCATTTCAAAAATAAGTATGATAAATTATAAGTGAAATAATAATCTATTAGATAAATACCAGCTGAAGTACAGTCTCAGTCACCCAGAACTTCATAGTCTTCAGCGTACAGAGTTTCTGGGACCGTTCTCAATATTCGACGTAAAGTCCATTGCTCATGCGTAACCGGGAGTTGGGTTTTTAATTTAGTTGATTATCCAGTATCTTTGGCCACGTCAAGTAAGAGTTGTATTAATATAACCAAGCATGAATCGAGACGACGAATTAGGATTAATTGAAAAAAACAGATATGGATCATGAAGAGCGAAATTTTACAATAAAAGAATTAAGAGTGTTGAATATTGAACTGGCATGCAATTAAATGGATTATTTGAAATGGCATTTTTAAATTAATTTCATGTGCGTCATCATCTTGTTTTATAAAGAGTTACCTCCCTTAGACGTTTATGATAATGACCTATTATTCTCAAATGTTGAAAACGCATCCAGGGTAATATTCGTAGAATATTTTTCTGGATGATAGAGACTAGCAGAAGTAGCACGTGATACAGCCCCCATTTCGATCGGTTAATCAGCTGACCGTGACAGTTGTACCATATTGCAAACAATGAGTATTCAATCTATCGGATTTATCCTCGACCATATCAAAACTTTAATTTACATATAGCTACGATGACACCGTTGATAAAGAGTGCGGGTGTGTGTGTGGGGGGTGGGGGGGTGGGGGGCTCAATTGCATCAAATTGGAATTAAAAGCCGTGATATAATGTAATGAAATTAGAGTCAATCTGTCAAACAGATTAAAACACAGATTCTATTTCGTTTCGTTTTTTATAGTTCAAAATATCGCTTTACTTGTCTTTACTTTACTAGGATCTGAAAGAGTTGTTATATAACCTGCATTCTGGATGATGTGAGGAATTAGCCGGTGAAACAGTCTGTTACGGCGATTTCTTGGCGTGTGATGCACGGAACTGTGGGTGTCCTACTAGAAACATCAACTTTGGTTGGTTAATCAAATGTCTAACGTCGTAGGTCAAAATCCGCTCATATGCCTCCTGTTACGACTTTCCGCTTCAATTGGTCACATCTTCATATAGCAAAGGTGGAAAAAAAACGAAACGAAATATAGATCTGTATTTAAATCAGATTGGAAATAAAGTTTAACGACCCACTTTTGTCCGCCGATTGGGCTAATGAAGGCCGGCGGGACGATCTACCCAATACCACCCGAATACCACCCCAATATCACTACATATTACCAAATACTACACCATAATGGTACCAAATGAGCATATTACTTGATTTTTTTAAAACATAGTGAGATATATCGTGGGGAATGTACTTCAAGTGTGATTATCGATGTCTGACTGTTCCATTTGCTTCCTTATATCACCCAAATCAAGCAAACAATAACCCAATACTATCAAATACTACTCAATATTATAAAACACAAACCTATTATCGTCAATTAGCAGCACATCAGTATAATAATTGCAACGAATATTCGCTAATTTACAGAAAATTGAAAAATTTACGCAGTAATCTCCCTTTACAACCGATAAATAGATTTTACATTGATTAATCATCCGTTTGTTTCCAAGACGACGAAGTTAAAATAAGGAAAACAGGTTATTATAGATGCCTCTGCTATAGGGAATTCATACAATATTACACGTTAAAAGCATATTAATATATAACATAACTTAAAATAAAAAGAGTTTGAAAAGAAGTTAACAAAGATTTAAAAATGCATTAAAATAACACCAGTTTATAAAATAAACAGCCAAATATCCAAATAAAAGAGTATTTTAGAGGTTGATTTAAAAATGTTCATTTAACGGTCTCGTGGCCTACTCAAAGGTCTTCTTACACTATATTTCTTCATCCTGGTGATATTAGTATGATAACACGCTGTCTATTAATGACTTATTAACGCGTTTTCTTTGTCTTTTAAATGATGCCTTTGAAAAAAAAACCTCTTGTCAAAATTTCACCGATTCTTCGAATATTGTCACTATTGATCAAATTGTAATTATTCTACGGTATATATTCACAGGTGACGATGTCGGGGGGATATCATTACCACCTAAATGAATAGATGCGGTCTCCAGTTTCCTCCCACATATGCATATGTTTATATTTATTATTTCATGTCAACGATTATGTTATTGCGTGAAATGAAATAGGGTTTAATTAGCGTCCTACTTTTCTTCTCCTACTGGGCTAATGAAAACGGGCATACGCCATACAGTGTGCTATGAGGGAAACTTGCCCGGGTAGCGTCACTATACTCTTATGTGGAATTCTAACTGCCAAGGGATCTTTTACGTGCTCGCCAATGAAATGAAATGGGGTTTAACGTCCTACTGTTCTGCTCCTAACCTGGGCTAATGAAGACGGGCATACGCCATACAGTGTGCTATGAGGGAAATTTTGCCTGGGCAGCGGCACTATCGCCTACTCTTATATCGAATTCCAACTGCCAAGGGATCTTTTACGTGCATTCCAATGTATACACGGGACCTCGGTTTTTCGTCTCATCCGAAGGACTAGACAGCTGTCCTTGTCAGGCCCTCCGTCCTGCATCACTGACAAGGGGGAACCACGCCGGAAAATCTGGATGAACTTTCTCGGCCAATGCAGGGATCGAACACCCGACCTCCAGGCTAGCGAGCTAGCGCCTTACCCACTTAGCCACGTGGTCCCCTTGCTCGCCAATGTATACACGGGTCCTCGATTTTTCGAACCATCCGAACGAATAGACAGCTGTCCTTGTCAGGCCCTCCGTCCTGCATCACTGACAAGGGGGAAACCACGCCGGAAAATTCCGAAGGACTTTGTCGCCCAATGCAGGGATAGACCACGGGACATCCAGACCAGACAGCCAGCGTCTTACCCACTGTGGCTCCCTATATTTAATGTTTCATTATTTGTTAGCGTAGGAAAGCATCATTTATAGATACTAAACGTGTATTATATCGCCATTTATAAAACATGTATGATATCGCCATTTAACATGTATTATTATGTTCTTTCGTAATAATTTCATGGCTGAATGGTTTATGTGTGCGTCCGCGCTGTATCATCAAGTCTGTCATTGAGTCAACTGAGGTGGTTTCGATTCCCTGGTTGTACGTGACACGAAGTATGGTCGCCTGTCCAACGCTGGCTCGCTAGCCTAGAGGTCGGTTGTTCGATCCCTGCATTGGCCGAGAAAGTTCATCTGGATTTTCCGACGTGGTTTCCCCTTGTCAGTGATGCAGGACGGAGGGCCCAACAAGGACAGCTGTCTAATCGTTCGGATGGTACAAAAACCCAAGGTCCCGTGTTATATTGGAATGCACGTAAAAGATCCCTTGGCAGTTGGAATTCGATATAAGAGTAAGCGATAGTGCCGCTGGCCGGGGAAGCGATGGTATTCCTGTCAGTAACACAGCATCCATAAACACAATACTTAAATCTTGAGTGACAAGGAGTAGGATCGCCTGTCCAATCTCGTGGGTTTTATCCGGGGGTCCTCCCACTGCTAAAGACCCCTACTCGCAAGCGAATTATTGAAATTAAAATTAAAACTATACGTAAGTCCCGAAATGACCTAGTGGACGTTGAAACCCCATTTCTCTCTCTCTCTATCTATCTCTCTCTCTCTCTCTCTCTCTCTCATATTGCGAACCTTGGGATACATAACAAATTTATTACATAATGTTTTCAAATTTATATTGATAAATACTAGCAAAAGTACAACGTGGCACAGCCTCAATTTCGAACAGCTGGCGTGTAGTTGTAACTCCACTCACCAAACGCTCCGTCACGCGTTGGCCGAACTGCACTCAACTATTTCAGAAATATTTAAAGGGGAACTACAATGATTTCAACCAAGGGGTATTCATTAAGTCGATTGTATTTATGCTCGACTATACTGAAAATTTACATATAGCTAGTCCATTACGATAACAAAATTGATGAAGTGTGTGTGTGTGTGTGGGTGTGTGTGTGTGTGACTAAATAATAGTTTCAGGTCCTCACGATGATCAACGGGTCCCGGCAATAATAAACAGGTCCCCACAACGATGTGCCAATGATAAATATCACTATTATTAATTTCATCAATTTTTGCAATATCTAGTATTGTTTAGAATACAAAAAAATAATACTCTCTATAAATACCGAAAAAGGTTGACTGCAGGAGTGGATTATGACGTCCCCATAAGTATGTTAATTGTATTTCCTGAATTGAATTATAAATATTAACATAGATTAAGCCGTGAGAACTTCGATATTGTCCTAAAAATTAAAATAATGCATCGTTACTTTAAATAAACTTTATAACTCTCTGTGCTATTTGTTTGTATATGCGTATACACTGTTTTGTTTTGTGATATAATTTAACCTGTCGCATATTTCACCTTATGTGTGATGCAAAATAGCATTGTTGGAGCTGACGTGCCATAAAACTCCATATCATCCATTCAAATTAAAATAAAATCAAAATAACCGTCTCTTTAATATAGCCTTTAAATCTCTGTTTCCTTCATTCATTTAAATAAACTAAACACCGTGAAAATATGGTAACAACTTATAAACCGTCTCTTTAATATAGCCCGGTTGAGGCTGACGTGCCTTTAAAGTTCTGTTTCATTCATTCATTGAAATAAACTAAACACTGTAAAAATAAGGTAACTTATAAACCGCCTCTTTAATATAATAGATTATTGCATATTGACTAAATTCTTATCAATATATCGACATTACACAATATTATGTGAATAATAATCTTGTCTACAGTTTATCAATTTAGTTTGTCTAGTATAGTTTATTTAATGTCTCCTACAATATAGCCTGGTTGGTGCTGATTAAACAGGATTTCATTTCTACGCTACGATTTCTACCAATAATACCCAAATAAGGTAAGATGTTTTAGAGATCAAATTTAAAATGGCATTGTTGTCCGGAAACTTTCCACTCTTCATCAAATTCAAACACGTACAGAACTAATGATTATGGGAAAAGATGTCTGCCGCCAGAGTTCATCACTTTCCAAACATCCTTATCCAATGATATATATGAGTGTTGCATCCATTACTACCACAGAAGTGTCTGATTCACCAATAGCAAGTTTTCATGTCACCAAGCTATTACACGCGGTGTATTGAATTTTTATATTTTCATCCGATAAAGATGCGAGCTGAACACAACACCAATGTAAACCTAACGTTTAACATATAAATTTTATTTATCTTTTTCAGTTCGTTATTTAACAATGATGGGTATTACTAATAGAGCTGTGGCTTGTGTTCTCGTTCTCAGTATTTCCATCTATACTTACATCTTTATTATCTTCTCTAGCAGCCATGAACCAAGAATTTTGCTTAATTCTGAATATGTTGGGCTAGATCAAGACTCTGAGACAGAAATTGAGTTCCGATCTTTTAAAATCGATGAAATAAACTGTAAGAAGATCATTGAAGGCGATGACATGGAAATACACAAATTCCTAAACCGAACACATGACAGCATTCCTAATAACGAAACCTTGAGGAAGCACACCATGAACTGTGAGGCGTTTAAAAGAATCTATGGTTACGATGCCATTATAAATACCGAGGAAGAACAACAGTTCCCTATTGCATTTAATATACTTTTATATAAAGACGTGGCCCAAGTTGAAATCCTTCTTCGTGCGATTTATAGACCACAAAACTATTACTGTTTACACGTGGATGGGTTTTCACCAGATGTTGTCCACAAGGCAGCGGAAGCACTAGCTGATTGTTTTGATAATGTCTTCATAGTTTCAAAAACAGAGAATATCAGTTACGAAAGTTTTCAAAGATTGCAGGCGGATATCAACTGTATGTCAGATCATTTAGCTAAATCAGACTGGAAATATCTCCTGAATCTTCCCAGTCAACAACTGCCATTGAGAACAAATGCAGAGATTGTCCAAATACTGAAAGCTTTGAACAATACGAATTATATGCAATGTATATTGGGGAAACGGACACTTCCAAATCGTTATACTAACAAATTTGAAAATGTGTACAGGCCAAATGGTCATTATGAAGTCGTAATGACCTATAAGCGACATAAAGACCCCCCACATGGCATTGTCGTTGTTAAAGGTAGTGCCTATGGTATATTTACGCGCGGGTTTGTTAATTACGTAGTCAAAAGTCAAATAGCTAAGGATTTGCTAGAGTGGTGTCGTGGAGTTCTCTCCCCTGATGAATATTATTGGTCTACGTTAAATCATAACCCACATTTACAAGTTCCCGGCAGTTATAAAGGTAACTATTTATATTATGATAATAATGATGTTTGAAAAGTAATAATCTCTGGTACACCACACGATATTGGGGTTTGAGTGACCGAATGGTTAACGCCGGCAAGTTGGATCATAAGGCCTGTCCATTAAAAACCTAAAAAAGAAATGTCTGAAAGCCCTCAACATATTGAGAGTCCTTTCAAATACTGACTGGGGAGCAGACTGTAAGGTCTTGCTCAGATTATATCGAGCTTTAATAAGATCTAAACTCGATTATGGGTGTATTGTGTATGGGTCTGCCCGCGAGTCTTATCTCAAAGAGCTCGACACCATACACAACCAGGGACTTAGAATCAGTTTAGGAGCATTTCGTACATCTCCAGTGGACAGTTTATACGTCGAGGCGCATGAGCCCTCACTGCACAACAGACGTGATAAACTGGCAGTATGCTACGAAAATAGCATCACTTCCGAATCACATTTCATTTAACACCATATTTAGACCTCTTTATGAGCATTTGTATCTGGTGAAGACTAATGTTATTCCATCATTCGGTATTCGCATACAACCCCTTTTGTCTGAGGCTGGTATCAGCCTTGATAGTATTGCGAATACCCCTGTCTTTAGGACTCCACCGTGGGCTATATCTCCCCCAAAGATGGATTTCGATCTTACTCAACATAAAAAGAGAGATACTAGCTCTACGATGTTCCAATCTCTCTTTAGAGAGTTAAGGTCTAAAGATGGTGATCGGGTAGCCTCGGCTACCGTGACGCCATCTCAGACCATTTCTGTGTGTCTTCCACCTGCTGCTTCAATATTTACAGCTGAGCTCCAGGCCAGAGGTATATTGTAAGATCCTAAATTTTTTAAAAGAGACAAAATTTTATTTTAAGTTTTAATTGTATATATGTAACCGGTCTTCTTTCATTTTAATTGTTTATATTCATAAAGTATTTGATTTTTAATTTTATATATTATCTGTGATGCTTGTTTTTATTTATGGATATAACTTTTGTGATTTCATTTATTTTGTCTCGAATAATTTCACCATATGTTTGGCGCAATATAGCCGGGTTGGAGCTGACGTGCCATAAAACCACATTTCATTCATTCATTCATAAGGCCTGTCATCGAGTCAAGTGGCGGGGTTTCGCGATTTCCCGCTTGTAGGTTAAAGGAGTAGGGTTGTCTGTCCAACCCCATGGGGTTTCCCCGGTTTCCCCCCACTGCCAAAGACCCTTACGGACAGGAGAATTATTGGATTTGGATGGGACGAAAGAAACCGATGTCCCATGTATTGGCGTGTACGTAAAATAACCATTGGCAATTGGAATTCGATAAGCGTAGAACGTAGCGCCGATGTCCGGGCAAATTCTCTTCATACCGCACTATATGACGTATGCCCGCCCCATTTTATTTCTATGGAACGCGTACACTAACTTATGGCAAGACAGTGGTTACATTGTAGTTACATACAAATACTGTGCACTGTGCTCTTATTTTATGGTATTTATATGAAAATAACTTTGTGATATTTCAGTGAAATGCCAGAGTAAGTTGTTGTTATCTGTGTATGTCAGCTGGTTTGAAAAAGGTACTGATGTGACAAAATGTCCAGGCAAGGTAGTGAGATTTATTTGTGTTTTTGGAATAGCAGCATTACACCAACTAGTGGACAGTTCTAGAAAGGAATTGTTTGCCAATAAATTTGAATTACAGTTCAGCTACCCAGCAATACAATGTTTAACTGAATGGCTACGTAATAAAACACTTTCCCCACAACCAATTGATGAACACTTTTACAAGAAATTATACAGTGAAAGAACGATTCCCAAAATAGCTTAAATAAGACCTTTTCCACTTTTACATTGTTCGATATTTATCACAAGAGCTTAACCGCTATTCTTTGGCACCTAGAAATGGGCAAAAATGTGTCGAAACGCATATAATAATTTTATGAAGGTATATAAACTGATTTACATTCAATCGTTTATGTCTTTACTTTTTTTTTCTAATCATTTATGTTCGGCGAAATACGCGAGGGTTCAAATTGAGGGAGAGAGAGAGAGAGAGGGGGAGGGAGGGTGGGGTTTAACATCCACTGTACACAAACTAGGTCATTTCGGGACTGAATGGCAGTCTTTGGCGTCTGGTCATTCCAGTCTACTCCGATAGTCATCCCTTGAGGGACATGTTAAGCCTCGTTCACCGAATCGCTCATTACAAATGGCGCCTGAAAGCATTCTTGTGACAAGTTTAAAATTTGCATTGCGTCCTAAATATTGGATATGAGAGAGAGAGAGAGAGAGAGAGAGGGAAATGAAATGGGGTTTAACGTCCTACTGTTCTGCTCCTATACTGGGCTAATGAAGACGGGCATACGCCATACAGTGTGCTGTGAGGGAGGGTGGGGTTTAACATCCACTCTACTACACAAACTAGGTCATTTCGGGACTGAATGGCAGTCTTTGGCGTCTGGTCATTACAGTCTACTCCGACAGTCATCCCTTGAGGGACATGTTAAGCCTCGTTCACCGAATCGCTCATTACAAATGGCGCCTGAAAGCATTATTGTGACAAGTTTAAAATTTGCATTGCGTCCTAAATATTGGATATGAGAAGCCCACCTTTTCCCAGTGAGATAATAACATCAATATTGATTTAAATTGACCAATGCATGATACATCGTTAGGGCCTTGGTTACATACTTTAAATTATGGTTGTTTAGAAAAAAAGGATATAACAACTATCGGTTTTCTGTACTATTTTTTCTGTCGATACCTGTATACTAGATTTACCTGTAGATCAGAGCCTCGCGATCTAAGAGGTCTCTTGTCAAGGTGTAAACTGTTTTATACTCTCATAAGCCTTTCATACACGCACTGTAGTCTTAAATATACGTCATCATCATCATCATCATCATCATTGACTTTACCCAATTGTCTTTAAAACACGGGTTGTCTTCCTCTAGTCTTGGGGTAGGGGATTGGAGGGGGTTGGGATTTAGTAAGTGCTATAGTCTAGGGCTTCCCCTGATCCTTCATCTAAATCAGGCATTTCCAACAGGTGCAACTTGAAACGATCATAAAGATGAATATTGAATTTCTCTTAAGAGCAGAAAAGTAGGACGTTAAACCTCAATTAATTCACGCTATAGTGTAGGCGAAGGTTTTGGCGTGCACGTGAAAGAACTACTGACTTCATAACAAAGGAACATAACTATAAACTCGGCTATCACACATCAGGAGTGGTGTCTTGACCCACAGTTATCCCCCTTTATATGAATTCAATAAAGGGATGTATGGCAGTGCGAATCCTATTCTAGATGTCATCCAGAATTTTGTTTTCCTCACTCTTTCCCACCAATAAAACAACAGAAGCATGAGGTGGTGATATACATCCGATAGTGCATTGTTCATCCAAATCGACAAAATGAAACTGAATCATGCCTTCTCAGTACTTTAGTCATTCTGAGACTAGCAAGCGACAGCCTATGTCTACTTCGTGTGCGAGAAGAAAAATTAACAGTGGGGAGAAAGCACCGGACCAGCAGAAAAAAACCCACGCGGTTTGACAGGCGACCCTATTTCTTATCATGTACAAGCTGGTAATGGAAACAACGTCACTTGACTCAATGATAGATCAGGCCGTTGCCCCCTCCTCCACACACCCAACCCAATCGTGCTGATATAAAACAAAGACACGGTAGTATAAGGTAAGAATTTTAATCCATATCACAATCACTTGAGCTGCACGAAAGCTAATAGCATCTCGTGTAGTAGAGACAAAGAAAACAACTGGTTAGCCTTCGTAGTATCTGGACAATTGAAAAACTTTTTTTTAAATACAAAAGGAATTGATTTTCTAAAATTCACATGGAACTGATGTGGTTAAAATCAACAAAACATCCCATTCAAAAGGTGGGTTTTCGCTTTCATCGGTATACATTTTATATTAAATTTAATTTAAAAAAGTATTTTAAAAAAAACAGGTACAACAACAAATAGTTATTGAACAGGTACGATCGTACTATGGGCCAGGAACTGACCATGTTGTTGGGTGAAATTTAAAAACGTAATTCACCCAATCGATGCAGAATTGCACCGCGAGAAGAAGAACAAGAAGAACAGGAGTTCCTCATCCAAAAAAGCAATATTAGAAACTCTGGAAAATACATCTGCAATTTTTAGCATCGGGGAATACAACCGGTGGTTATTTGTTGACAAAGTGGTGAATATTCGCGTAGTTTTGCTTAAGCTATGTGCTTTTAAAAATGCATTGATACCCAACTGCCAAATATCTATAGACAATTTAATTACAGTAAAACTTTTTGATTTAAAGCGAGACAACATTGTAGCTGGTTTTAGACAACATTTTTCAAAACAGGAGCGTTTTACATAAATCCCATTCCTATATCCCGAATAAAATCACAGTTTGAGCACTGACATCGCGGTGTTTATACAAATGCTACTGCCTATTCCCAAATCCTATTTTTAAGATATCCTGAATAGAATATTATTTATAACAAAAATGGATTGACCACTACTGATTTTTATTTGGTAATTGTCCTTTTGTTTAAATTTGTGTCGGGAGGCTGTAATTATTTTATTTACAATGTTGTATTCTGTAAAATTTACAGATATGAACAAAAACAAAAAGGTCGATGCAGTTTTAAAATCATTTTTTACCGTTGCAATGACGCAAACTGTTTGGCGCTGTGCAGGTTATAATTTCCTGTTAACGTTATATTTTATTAACAAACATTATTCAAGAGCTAAATCTGCCTATTGCAAGTCATTATTACGGCTTCAGATGTTATAGAAATTATAACTTAAACCTTGATTGACATGGCAAGTTAAAAATCAACTCTGTAGACCCTCGGATGGCTTGGACATAGCTTGGATTTAAACAGTCGTCCATTTAAAATTAAATCAAGAAATGGCCAACCAAGCTAACGCTTACTGTTAGTGACTAACGTCACTACCGGACACTGGTGAGGGTACCATAGGCCTACCAAGCGAGGGTACCATAGCCATTGAGTATGTTACTTGATAATCAAGAATATGTGGGCGGAGTTATCATCTGTCAATCAAACGATCGGCAATTCTCGTAGACAGTTTATGTCCATTTCTAGTCCAAAGTTCCAACAGTGACAACTCCGTTCAGAATAAAGAAATTAGACTGAAATTTTCAATATTTTCTTTTTTTATCACCTATTTTTGAATTATTATAACAAGAATGGCCAACTCTTTATTAAACTCTTAACTAATGTATCTTTAAGATATGACACCTCACGATGAGAAGATATGAAAAGAAAAACAAAATCGTAAAAATATCAATACTTAAAAGGAATAAGATAAACAACTTTAAGATGAAATTATAAAAATGTTTGGCGCTGTACTGGTTGTAATTTTGTGTTAACGTCGAACTGTATTCCTTTATCATATGACACTTCCTTCACAATGTGACATTTCCTTGATCGACAGATAAGAACAACTCGTAAAAAATACCGATATTGTTAAGCAGTAAGATTAGATCAGTCGTTATAGTAAGCCTTTCTGTACCACTTCACAGATGACAACACTGTTATTAGCGGGATCTTCCTTTGGTCTTCAGGTTGCGCCTGATAAAACCTACGTATTGTTGGTTTACACCCAGTTCAACACTACGTAAATCCTAGCTCACAATCCGCCATACGTGCTCCTACGGGCAGTCTGTGGGACAGGGGTCGGTCGAATATCCACTTTAAAAAAACGTGTGTTATAGCAATTGAAACATCTCTATTTCAGTGTACCCATTGAAAATCTACAATGTTACCTTACTTCTCAAGTTTAAACTCAGAGTTTGCATAGATAGCACACCGATAATTCACATCCCCATGAAGAGCATGGTCATTAACTTATATCACTTTAAACACCTTTGTCAATATAGGGTATAAATCCAACCTATTACATCTCGTCCCTCATTGTTTGAAATCTCCTGTACATTAAACATAGCTGTAAAATCAGTACGTTCTGACATTTTCGCTTAAATGGAATAACCACCGAATCATGTCATTGACTCGACGACGTATTTACATTTATCACCTAGAGATATGTTTTATAGATGAATTAGCAACTCCACCAACTATAACGATTTGGAACCCTTTCATTGTTGCTTTTATTCGTGAACTTAGTAATGCATAGAACTTACATCAAACATGTTTGATATTTGTCACTTCACTGGAGCGGATGACCAAACTATTAGGGTCTGATGTTCGTACTGGAAATAATTCATGAATCACGTAATTTCACGATACTTAGATAATAAAACAAGCTAGGGTGAATTTGGGCTCCATAACAGGCTGTATTGACACCTGATCCGTTTCAGAACTCCATGGAGATTTGATAGTTATATAAACATTGTTTGAATTCGACGTCTGCTCCATGTCAAGCCTATTTAATTCCACATGGATTGCATCAGACCGTGTAACATACAAAATGCAGAGTCTGTTACCTATCAATTGATTCTTGTAGTACGCGAGGGTATCATCATGTAATACCCCCTCACGAAATGATATGATTATTCAACATATGGTAGTCTGTATCTTACAAGAAATAAAGTTTATTAGAGTTATTCCCCTTTGGGACGTCAGACATATTTCTGAACTTGACGTTAAATGTAATTATCACAGTTCCATGTTACAATATAACGGTTGGGTTGTTTAAACCTTCACTTTCCAACATGTCTTGATCGACCTTTTCTTCTAATCCCGGGATTATTTTGATCATGTCCCCGACGCGTTCGTTACGTCTTAAATATAACGTAACGCATACAACTGCTGCCATCTCCGCAGAAACGAACGCAAGTCCCGCAGAAAAGAACGACCAACCGTAATAATATAAAAATCCACCTTCTTCCTTCTTGGTATTGGACCTGTATCCAACCTCATCGTTTATAGACGAGATATAGAGAATAATTCCAACTGCTAGCGCA